TACTGCTCTGGTATCAGCCATGCCAACACTACTGTGCCCATAGGGAGAGGGCGTGGCCAATGTAAATCAGGAGTTCACTAACCTTTACATTTCTACCAGTACATTTGCACGAGCATGTACGGGGAAAGAATAAATGGGGAACCCGCCCCTCAGTTGGTAAAACGGGGGTCGTAACAACTTCAATTTATAAAATCCAGTACACAATTCAAAATCATATTCAAACGAAGTCTTGTCCCATCAACTTACACTCAGAACACACGTACAGGTATGTAAAATCTGAACAGGGATGATAACAGGGAAGAGATTGATCAGTGATAAAAATACATGCAGCTGAAAACAGCTGAAAAAAAGACATAGAAGCTGAACTGTGAAAATCTCCTACACTTTTGGACACAGCCAGTGGGGAAAAAAAGCTGAAATTCAAAACAAAAACAGCTGAAATCAGCCGAAAGCCAAGAAATCTCAACTCTGTGATAAAGATGAAATTCAGGAAAACCTACATGTACGTAGGCACTCCAGTGTTGAACGGTGGTGTTGGTAAGAAATAACAAGTACTGGATTTATTTTATAAATTTCAATATTAATACACGGTGTAGCAGTACGTACAGTAGTACACTGACTGCAGTGTGTACTGAAGTGAAAAACAACTACTGCTCTAGTTCCCAGTCTTGCTTTTCCATTGCAAGCTGGATGATTCAGAATTTGTAAAGTACATGTACATTTACGCTGGTCGGTAATAAATAACAGTTTAATGGACACACTTTGAAGTAGGCTCTCAACCAATGGTTATGACCCTGCTGTGCTTTATTTTATGGTCAAGCCCATTATTGGCCATTGAGAAAATCTATTTATCGTAAGCCCGGTCGTTAAATAAACTTCAATGCCCTTTTCTTGAAGATATTTCAGCTTTTTTATTGGTCATTTACATGTGAGTCAGCACTAGTTCCATCCTTAAATCAATCTGTGATATTATTGCTTAAATTCAAAACAGAATGAAAGCAAAATGTGTTTACATGACCAGAGGGCTCCAGGGCTTAAAATATTGACTTCAGTGGATTATGGGCTAATCACAAGCCAAGGATTAAACTGTCTGCCTTGCTGGTGGGCCCTGGGGATTATGAGATTATGGGATCAGGTTTTAATGCAGGTAAGTCTAATGCTTTGCCATTAACACCCTCAGTTAGCACAATTATTTTAAATAACACAGGATAGACCCTCATGCCCACACTGTACAGTGCCTTGAACCTGGCCCCTCAACTTCTGGCAGAGTGACTTCACTGCCCAGTGTTTACAGGCAAGTGGGATTTGTCTGAGGAATTTCTAGGTCAGTTTGACTAGATTATAAGTACCTTCGCATAATAATATTGCTGGCTGTGCCCCTCCAAGCATGTGAGCCTATTAAGTAGTTTTATAGACAGGATGCTGATAACAGAATGCAGTGGGCAATGGAACAAGCCAGTTTGCTAGCAGTTCCGAACTTGTTTGTGGTGTGGAACTAGTAGTAGCATTTTGAGGAAAGTCAAGGAAAAGTAATAAATGGAACTTATGGTTTGGATCCTTGAGGAAGAACGCTCAAGAAATGGAATGACTCATGGACTACAGTACTTTGCTACTACAAACATTTGGGTCACTGCTCTGGACAGTTCACAATGTGGACCTACATAGTTTATTCATGCGCGAAAAATGATACTCATGCAAATGTTTTTCTTTCTTCAAAAGAGCCGGGTAGCTTCTACCATATATGCATGTATACACACCTAGCCACGATTAGCTCTTAAAGTTGTTCTGAAAGTTTAAAAACTGTCCCTTTTTGTGCCATGAAGTTTATAAGTTTTGAGTACTAGTAGAAAATATAAAATGGAAAAAAGAGAGAAACTAGCATTTGCTATTCAAACCAACCCTCCACAAGTTTAGGCTTTTTCTTGTGAGCTTTCCCGCTTACTGACAAAGACAGAGAAAAAGAGCTGTGAAATCAGCAATGGACAGGCCCTTTAAAGATGAAGAGCCAGCCGACCAACACAGCCACAGTAAGAGCTGTCATTCAGGTAGAGGATGAGTCTAATAACGGCAGCTTCCTGACGCCTTACAAAGACAGTGTGCTCCAAAAAAGCAACAAGACCACAACCAAGATGCAGGAAGTCATTGGGCTGCCAATATCCGGTAAATTAGGTCCCTTATCCCCGAGAAATTAGGTTAATTTATGTAAAGCAACTTTTTTGTCTTTTCTTTTCTTTTTATTTTCATTTTCAGGATGGGAGGGCTGCAACATCAAGTGACGTAAATACCCCCTATTGTTTTTCTTCTTCGGAGAAGAACCACAGATTTCAACGTGCTGGGTTTTCTTCTGTGGTTTGGTTGTCTCTCTGGGAAACAGTACATTGTTATTAACTGTCTGATATAGTGAGACTGTCTTTCGAACCAGTTTTGATCATTTCTTAGTTTTTCAGATCTGCTGGGGTGCGTTGGGCAAACATTTTTACAAGAGGAGGAGAGTCACACTTAAAAGCCACACAAGTCTCAAACATACTTTTAGATACGGTAATTCTTAACACTCTTTAGGGCTCCTTTGGTTGAACCAACACACTGAAAGTACTACAATGCAAATAAGGAGCACTGTACCACATCAGAGCCTGAAATTACGGTCGGACATCGGACATTCGAGCACTTACTGTGTTTGTCCGAACAAAATCAAAGATGCTCGGGCAAATTGTCCGACCAACATATCAAAAACAGCTCTTAAAATATTAACACAATTTATGTGATTATGGCGTCCGATTTATTGTTTGGTTAGTGTTAGAATTACCTTGATTATGCCCAAGGCATTCATCAGGGCTGATTGCTCATCACCAGCCCATGTCACCCAGCGCCAAGCTTGTATGAACACACGTGTATGCTTTACTTGCAGACATGAAAACGCCCCGTAATTCTTTGCGCATTGTAAAATGTACATCATGCTGTCCATCAATGTTCAATTTTCCATGGTAACCCATGCATGACACATAACCTGGATACCGTACTACCAGGCAATATGGACTAGTAGTGATTGGCTGCGTTTACGCAGTTCTTCCAGTTCAACCCGAGTGTGGTGCGCGCGCAGTATATTTCTGTATGTGCGATGGGAGTATACCCTCGTTGACCTGCAGGTTTTACTCCTGCCAAACAGGAGTAGCTCGCTTGAACGCAGCCCTTAGTCACGGCTCAAATGTGCTCCTCAAATTAGACTTTTTCCTGGTCCCTGTAGTCTGAACAAAAATAATAATGGGGTTGGGGACCCCAACTCTACCTTTTATATAATCTGGCAGATCAAAAGCTTGTAATGGCCGAACAAAATTGATTTGATTGTGTTATGACATTTTGTCCGAGCCCTTTTTTGGTCTAATTTCGCACAATGCACACACATGCACCGTTACATGTATTCCATTTCTGTACAATTCTTGACATTTTGAAGGGGCAGTCCAATTAAACATTCACTCCAAAGTGCTGAAAAGGTGGGGAACTGGACCTTACTGCACTCCCTTGGTATGATCCCACTTTACCCCTCTCTTGACAGCAATGTGGCACTGGGTCACCATACCCCCAGAACTGTGTGTTGGGTTATCAACCATCCAGCCAGAGACACCAAGTTAAGTAATTTGACAATACCAGAGCAACATCCCTACTTGCAAGGACTATACACATGTTGAAACGTACATGTAGGTTGTGGGGATTAACTTTAGCTACTCCATCTCCACTTTCCTACCAAAAGAATCCGTCCCCTTGAGGCAGCCTGGGCATATTGATTATGTCCCTGTACATGTACTCAGTATGTTGTAACACACAAGTGTGCATGTACATGTACTATGATGTTGCTGAACTCCCCACAAATTTGCCCAACGAGTTCAACTATCGAGCAAGGTTCATTGCAGTGCAACATGCACTGAGGCATCGCATCCAACTTCCTCCCAAAAATGCAGAGCACTTTCCAAAAAAGCACACATGTGTACGGAAGTCTGCCCAATATCACAGCCATTCCAGCATCCTGACATAACACCCACAGGGGTTGAGTGGCCAAATCCTTATTCACCCACAAATCTCCCATTATAGCCCAGCCCCACCAACCACAGGTTGCTGACCCCGAAAAGCCCCTGATTTGCTGGGCCGAGGTGGACCAGCCGACAGGAAACCACCTCCCCTTTTCTCTGTAACCATACTTTCCCCAGTGATAATAATACCGGAAGAATCAGAGTGAGAGAAATCGCCCATGTGCTCAGCCCAGCCCGCTGCAGGGCAAATGCTCAATACATCTCTGCTGAACAATGACACGGTTGTCCCAAACCACGAGCAAACACAGCCAATTGTCACTTGGCTTTCTTGGGGGAGTGAGAGGTCATTTCAAATGGTTACTCAGTTCTGTAAACAGATGAGTGTGTGTGGTGGTCTAATGGCAAGGGAGATGAATAAGTGTTACATCTCTGGATTGTCGAAATGTTGTAGCTCCTCATACAGCACTGACAAAAGAAAGTTAACAACGCTGTCACTAAAGGAGAGAGGTTGGAACAACTTCTTGAGGCAGAACTCGCCAGAACACTGTCAACCCCAGGATGTCCAATGTTGACTGTGCACAGATTCTGTTCTCTTAAAGTTTGTTAGGCTTTGTTTTGTTCTCCCCTCCCCCATCTTATTTCTGCTCATATAAAAACAAACTTAAATTTCACAGAGTCCAAAATCTTACTCCAAGCAATGTTCATCCATTTCAATATGTACACATGTACCTACATGTATTACCAACTAACACCAATGGTGATTAACGTACATGGGTTGCAGGTATTGTTAAAAGCTAGTGCACCTCCCTCCTCTTCCAAAATTCTCCCCTAGTCAACTCCTCCCTTCCCTCTTTCAACAAGAAAACAAAACCCAAAACCAAGAGCATAAGTTCTGCCCACATCTGGGGCAGGACAGGCAATTATTGTCGTTCAAGTGGCAGAAGGAACAATAAGTAACAGCCAATGTGTACGTTTTACCTTCAGGCTGACAATGACTAACTCCCTGGCCTGCAGCTCGGCTTCCAGCAGCCCCAGCAGACGGAGCAGGTCGGCCTTGCTGAAGTTCATGATCCCCCTGGATGGTCTCTGTGTTAATCAAAGGGAAGAGGGGTTAAAGGTGTATTAACAGCTTGTGCGTTTGTGACAGCACCGCCCTAACAGGGGGAGGGAGTTAATTTGCCTTTAGGAGGTGGGTGCTCTGACAGGGGGAAACACACTCACATTTCATGAATTCAGAGATGATCGTTTTTCTTGGAAATATATACCAAACTATTTCGTTTCACATTTTTAAAAATCTACCACTCCAAAGAAATTCTTTCAGAGAAAAGGTCAGTGTCGTTTATTTAAGTGCTTCTTTTAAACGCTTTTGGGCAAATTATGACAAAGACAGGGTACCATGTCTGCCCAACAGTTCTGCTTAGATGCCTTGAACAAGCTTTTTGCATGCTGCCCAGACTGCAAAATCCCTTTGACAATCCATAACAAACTACATGTACATGTATTTGGTATGATCTTTTGCTTAAGTTGATTTTTTTTTCAACTGCCCCCAAGAGTAGTACCGGTACATGTATGATTGAGGCATGTCAGGTTTACCCTGCTCAAGCCCCCTGAAGGGGCAGTCGTGAGAGCCAGATCTGTGCAACTTTTCAGCCTGGAATTTCAATCACGCACTCGGCCAACTTGTATCAAGATGGAGGGAGGCAAGCTAAGTGCTGTCTGTGCCTTTCTATCGAACACTGATGAACTAGCCTGATAGGGATTGACCTTTTCCGAAAGTGAGCCCTACATTTAAGCAAGTCTACAAAACAAATTCCACACCCAGACAGTCCTTATTTTTCAATGACAAGCTGTAAATATTTACAAAGTCCTTGAAACTTTTCAATCAAAGACTTTTACCTCAGGAATGACTGCTTAAGAACACATGTACAGTACATGTACATAAGTGTATCTTGGTGTACTGATAAACTGTATATCAGGTATTTTAAAGCAAAAATCTAATTAGAATTACAGGCATAAAAAAAAATTACAAATGGGAAAAAATCTTGTACCCTTGAAAGAATTAAAGATTTTTTAAAATGCAGCTTGATCAAATTTTCTGCATCAAAATGAGCCAATCTACGGGTGCTTAATAAAACAAAAGGTTTTTACACAGCAAGCATTATTTCTGGGGAGAACAACGACTGGAATTATCCTGACAACACTACCCTTGCCTTTCAGTGATAACTCTTGCCGTCAGCTTTTTTTCCCCCCGACATTCGATCATTAAGAGGCAACGCTCTCTTGTAGCACCTCAAGGAAGAGAAGTTACAAGACCTGCCAACACAATGCCAGCCATGTCGTGCGTGACTCCTTGGCCGTCTCAGCATTGTTTGCATTCACGTACCAAAGGACCAATCTGGGCAAAACTGATGAGGTGCTCTTCTCCCACTCCTTCAGGCCCAACAAGCATGTAATTAGTTCGACACGAAGGCACGCTTGTCCAGGGAAGTACAGTACATACACTGTCACCTGATCATAAAGCTTACCCTTTTCTTCTTTTTTTTTTCTTTCAAACCGTAGATTTTATTAAGTCTGCAAGGTTATTTATCCTTTTTTTACCATCCACGGAAAACCATATACTTGCTTCAATGGCAAACTGGCCATACACTCAATGAACATTCTAAAACTGCCAGTACAGTGCATGCCTTCAACTCAGGAAGTATCATGCAAATGGTTGCTTCCATGTTGTATTTTCTCATGAAGGATCAGTGCCAACATTTCTGCAGCAATGAAAGATAAAATTCTGTGACATTCACTGCATGGAACTCATGAAACTGAGTGGCTTTTTTTAAGAAAAAAACTATCCAAAATGTATCCAAATCCATGGTTTTAGGCCCAGACATTTGCTCATTGAGGACAAAGCCAGGATTCCTTTGAAAAGTGGCATGTACATCTAAACTCGAAAGGGGATTTTTTTTTTCACAAATAAGATTTCTAAAAACAAGAAATGGAAAATTTCATCCATTTGAGCCAATTTTGGCCCACAGCAGTAATCTCTGATTTGAGACTTGTAGCAAGTCTACTGGACAAGAATGAGCAATCATCCAACAACTCTCAACAACCAGCACTGAGAGTTTGTACCTGAATTCAGCGGAACAAGGGTAGTTAATTTGGGGATATCAATCCGAGACCAAGAATAAGTGAAATTCCATTTCTGTCCAGCAAATACAGGCCGGATTTCCACTTTACAGACATTCAGACAAGTCATGGTGCAGAAAAGCTGTCAGTAGAGGCACAGATCCTGTCCAATCAGTAATGCATCATGGGAAGGAGTCAACATCCATTTACAGACACCAACAAATTCAGTTGTCGTGTGTGTGTCACAAATTTAGTTATTATTTGTGTCACTTTGGAGTTGAAATACATGTATAGTTTTTGTGTTCTTGCTTAAGACACCCTTTTTTTTCTAAAAAATTACCACAACGAATTTTTATACACAAGGCTTTTGAACACATGCATTTTTGGTACCCTGAATTCTACAGTACACATATCCAAATAAACTACATGTACCGTATCAGAGAGAATCCCCTTCAGCTCTTTTGGGGGAGGGGTTAGAAAAAATGTAGGGGGGGGAGGAAAAAAGTTGGGGAGGTCCCAGCTAGTAACTGAATCGTGATTCATGCATCATCACTCTCAGGTGATATTCAACGTTTTTCTGAGCCAAATTGGTTTTGGCGGTCTGCAGGGCCTTCTCGCATGACAATTACGACGCAGGAAAAACATTTTGACGTGTCAGGTCCCTGACTTTGAGGGGGTTTTCACAAGGTCTACGGAGAATCGTCTTAGTGGTGTAAGGACTCCAAGGACCTTTCACTGTTGATTTTGGTTTCAGACCAAAAGAAATCCTGGTGAAATTTGATAAGGATGGGGCGATTATTTCGAAGGAAGGGGCAACTGTCAAACATGACATGTCGTTAATTATTTTTTTTGAGGGGGGAGCTAAAAGAATCTGCCTTGTAATTTTTTCCATGACTCATCCTAGGAATCATCCTAGTACTGTACTGTAACTTCAACACAGGTACAAGTTCCACACTCAAAATGTTGTTTTATCATTACGTGGCTAAGTGATGCACGGATGAGCACTGGCTATTTTGGATGAGTCACGGGCTCATCTGGGACGGTCGTCACACTTGGCCGGACACTGTCAGTGGTGTAATGGACGCACCAATGCCTCCAACATGAGTGGACACTATGGGTCTGAATTAAAAATGCTCGGAATGGTGATGACCTAAACTATCCCCATCCCCAACAAACCTCCCCCCCCCAAAAAAAAGGATGTGAAAAGAATGATTGTTTGAACAGAACACAAAACATTAATTCTAAGTTGTACATGTATCACAGTGCAAACATCCTGTAGCAAAATCTCATTAAAAAAATAGTCTTTTCAACATCAAAAAAGACCACAATCAACTCTATGAACCAAAATTGCAAAGAAAAGAAGAGATCATTCTTGTTTTCTTTCTGGATCATGCCCCTCCCCTCCCCCCATGCCCTGCCAGAGACAGAGTCACACTGTGTTTTTTGCTGAGCTGGGGCATTTGGGAATTCCTGAGCCACAGCCTCGCAAATAATGTAAAATCAGCCATTACCCAAGCTCAATCAAACAGCTACATCGGCGGCAAAAAATTATCAATCAGGTGGAATGAACGTTGAACAGGGAAGAGGATTACATGAATGGAGTGGAACGGGATGGAGCAGACAGGCTTTGTGGCGTCTGCCTTTTGAATACCACGGCGAAGTCAGCGACACCCTGGCATCATCCCACAGGAATTAAATGTGGGTCCATTGGGTGCCATGGGTTTTTTGTTTGTGGTGCTTGAATAAAATCCCAATTAGACCTGAGACAATTTGGGCTTCATTATAAACCGTCCGACTAATTAATTATTCACCCACGGTGGAGGCCAACGCAATTAATTTGTAATTGCAGGAATTGTTCCAGGTGGAGAATTTCCCACTGCATTTTGGAGTCATCCAGGTTTGTCGTCGGTAATAACTATGTTGATACATGCACCTGTGACCTCAGGAGTCATCAAGGAAAAAAGTAACTGCTACTAGGACTTCATTTACACGCATTACGTTAAAAATATAATCTTTCCAAGTCACTTAAAAACAACAATGGTCAAAATTTATCTAGATAGGTTTTAAGATTAGGTACATTCATGCATGTTTAATGCAAGTGTTACCCCAACTCAATATACAAAATGCGTAGCAGAAAAGTTCTACCTCTACATGTATCTAAAATTTAAAATCTGGTACTTTGGCAGATGCTTTAGAAATTTTAATTTGAAAATGGTTCTAAAAATGTCCACTGTAAGCAAGATGTGAATCATACGTTGCTGCTATTTCTACTGTAGCCTAGGTGCATTACACACACGTTTGCAGCAAGTACGTACATGTACCATATGCCTATCACAGATGTGAGCCACACCTTTCCAGTGCACTTACATGTACATGTACATGGATGACCCCTAAACAAGAGCTGACATGGCTTTTTTTATGAAACAACAGTTTGAATAAGAGTCACAGATGAGTCGGTTTATATGCCATATTGTCTTTTTTCTTAACATGGACATACTTTTGGTATTGTATAGATTTTAGACAACTTAATGAATTAGTGGTTTCAATATACATGTACATGTACGGTATGTATGTCATTAGCATGGTATACCACAACAATGGCGGAACGATGTTCAAAGTGGTAGGGGTGCGGCTGTGAGACCATCGCCAATTGGGCATCAGCTATTACTGGATCAATCCATTAAGCTCCATCTCATCACTGGACCTGCAAAAAGTGGGGTGGGGGGAACATCCCCCCAGTTGAAAAGTGGGGGCCATTGGCCCCTCCCCTTCCACCACCAGTGCTGTGCGGAATGCAGGCCTTGCACAGAATGTTGCTGGCCTCTTGGCTTGCCCATTGCTCATTTGACCAGCTCAGATGAAACTTTACAAACTTGTGGGTTATTTTTTGCAAATTTAAAATATACGTCCTCTTCAGGTATGCAAAATAGCATGTTTACATGTACGTACATACACGCGTACATGAATTTTAAACTATAATGTATTTGATACTGAATTATGGGGAAAAATACCAGTGTACCTCACAATTAATTTTCATTGACCTGTCCTACAATTTCACGATCCTGTGCTTGTTTTGACAAAATGATAAACAAATTATGTACGGCAGATATGAAACACATTTTTTCTGCTGCTTGTGTAGTGTTCCCTATCAGTATATTACATGCATTATTGGAAACCTGAAACACACAGATATCATCTGACCTTTCATGCATGGAGAGGTTATCCCTTTCAACCAAGGGATAAAAAAAAATTAACGGGAGTGTCGTCTGGCTTTTCTATTTGCAATCAAGTAAAGGTCAGAGTGAGACATATCATAATGTCATCAACCCTGTGTGACTGTAAAAAGGCATATACGGGAATACACGTGTTTACAGTACAGTTGATATTGTGCAGGTGACCAGTGTACTGAGGATGATGCAATGTATGAATGTGTAGGTTGGTAGGTGTCTAATTGCAGAGCTACAAAATGTTTTATAGCTTCATGGTCTAACACAATTTGAATTCCCCAGACTAAAGACACTGTTGCTGTATCTCATGACTCGGGGCAAGCTTTTGCATAGCGACCACCATCTCGGGAATGGACTGGTTCCTTTGTGCCCTTCTTACCCAATGAGAACAGCCGTGTTGGTGCAAGGTGTCTCTTATGATGTACAGTGTACGTAACTGAGCAAAAGCTTGCCCTAAATCACGAGGTATATCAACAGTGTCTGCAGTTTGGAGAATTCAAATTACGCTCAAGTGAATTTAAAGAACTCCATACACCAGCTTTTATTCAAATGTAACTAGTGAAGAGCCTTACTGACCCTCAAAAATAGTTACGACATTTACCTCCCCCCCCATTTTTTTTTACATTAGTGTTTGTGATGTACATACATGTATGTAGAAAACTAACTGAGGCTGGGCTTCTTTTTTTTTTTTAAATCTTCATCACCCAAGGATTAGCTACATGTACATGTATGTAAGTCCTTTATAATTAATGGCTTATTCATTGTTTGCCCATTAACAGGTGAGGCTGTGTTTGTCACTCATCACACTTTATCCACCATTAGGAAGTGCCAAGGCCATTGTGTGTTTGTTTTCACTGGCTGAAGTTGACCTCTCCCACTCTAAGTACATTGTGCAAGACCTCGCTGGAGTCATTTTTTTAGGAGAAAAATTCGGGCCACAGATTGACAGGTTTTTTTTGGCTGATGAATGCGTCGAAGTTGAGTTGTTCTCCAATTCCTTGTAAAGCAAAGCTCTTTCAGTTTCATTATGAAAATGAGCTCAGCAGACAGACTTTCTGCAAAACTTTTAACTCTTTCTTTACCCTTGATATTTGCTGACAGCATACGACACAGACTTCCGTTGTTCGTGTTACGTTACTGAGCCACAGTTCCTCATATGTATTATTCATAAACAGAGACTTTTTTCCTCCCCGAGCAATTCTTATTTGACTTGGTAAAACTTATGTGATATTTATTACACAAAGTGACTATCATGTATCTTGAGTGAATTTTTCCAAGAATGTATAACTTGTCAACACACAGCCAATATGTTGCAGACATCTGCACATACTATAGGTTTTTTCTTTTTTGCAATGTACAACACAGAAACCATTCACGATACTACTTAAATGTCTCAGCAATGTGCGACATGAAACATTCACAATGTCGTGCCTGCTTGGCCAAGTGGAATAGGACGAATATAATTTGGCATAATATATCACTAAGAAGATGAACATTAATATTAATGTTCCATACGTACATGTACCTCCATGGCCCAGAGAGGTCAGATTAAACATGAAACATTCATTACAGCCCTAGTACATGTCTCCGACTCCCAGCAACAAGACAAAACCATTCAGTACATGTCCTGCTTTGACAGCCAAAATGGTGGTGTAGCATGAAACCGTTACCTCCTGCAGTGCAGCAATTTTATGACGCAGAAAGATGTAATGCGAAGGCATTAATGTAAGGTAATGACATACATGTACTGTCTGCCCTATCTCCGTCACGGTCCACTGCCCACCAAGACATGAGATGAAAATCATTCACAATATGCTCCGCTGCCCGCCAAGACTTAACATTGAAACCTACAAACCCTGTCTTCATGGCCTACATGTATGTTAAACATTAAACCGTACACTTCTGTCCTATGTCTCCATGTCACAGCAATGCGTGCTGTAATATGAATCCATTCACTATGCACTATCTCCATGGCCAAGCAGGATACAAAAATCCCATTTCCAACAGTACCTCCATGACTAAGCAAGGTACATGTACGTGTGCAATATTAAATATTACCACCGATGTCCTCCAACCTGCATACAATGTACAGGTACATCAGCGTTATTTGTCCAGCAAGAATAGCGTGAAACTCACTGATGTCCTTACCTCCATGGACAAGCAATACTGAGTACCAGGACATTCAGTAGGATCTGGGGGGAACTCAGATTACTGTACAGAGGCGGCTGTACTATTTCACTCCTGACTCCGGTCACTGTGTCATGTTGATTCAGGTCACATCCTTGTCACCCTTGGTCCTAGTCCACTCAGCCACCTTGAGTCCTGACTCCTGACCTAGCCACTTGACGGCCCACGACAAGGGGGTGCATCCACTGCATCGGCTGGGCCCAGCCACATGCATGCACGCATAATGCTACACAACAAGTAAATCTCTTCCCTCGAAGCCCGGGCTGCAATATCTACATGCACACCCATCTGACAGTGGGCCAACATTCCCGCTCCGTGAATAATTTTTGACAGTGGATGATGCACTGGCGGGGATGTGTATACATGGATGTCAGTCTATCCATCTCCTGACCGCAATCTGAGCAGACCCATCTGAGGAAGTAGGAGTGTGACGCACGGTACTGCGTACCAGGATAATGCACTTGAGGCACTTCGGCTTTGCCAAGAACACAATTTTCCAAGAATCTATACTACTACTAATAGCAAATTGGGCACTTTTTCAGTAACCCAAAGTAGAACAAGGAACTTTACCTTTACACCTAAAATATGGCGTACAGCACAAAAACTCAGAGGCAGTGTACTAGAACAAAAGAAATGCAAACTGGTAATTTGATACAAACAAAAAACACCACTCTTCCTGCTGATAGTTGATTTATCTTCTTGTGTGCCTGGCTCGAAACAACAAGCTGAACTGCTTGCTTGAGGCAACTCTCTTACATGGACTTTCCCTTCACTGGGACTTGCTTGCCTGCTTACTTGTTCGCCTGCTTGGCTTGCTTGCTTGATACCGGTAGATATCTCCTCCATCCCTGCTCCCCATCCAACACTCCAACACTTCAAAGTGGATAGTACAGACAGGTGCAGATGGTACTTTGAAAGAAAAGTGTAGCCTTTTTATGCACTTGGTCCAAGTCTTTTCCTACCCCCATGTTCGGACCATGTCTTCCTACCTCCATGGTCCAAATTCATTGGCTGCAAAGGAGAAAATCTGTGGGGCAGGCTGGTGAGGAATTTCATTGCCACTCATTCCCCCGAGACCCAGAGTACCTCCGGCATTCGTTTTGACTTATCTGCACTGACTGCAGAAAGGTTAGTCATATACCAATCACGGTGTCAAGTCAATCACTCAGCTGACCTTTCGAGACATACCTGCCGCGGTTTTGTAAATGTTTAAGAACTTAGTGTGGACGGTACCAGTACATTTGGCCACATGATTACACTGGGCACTTTTTATTTTTAATGCCTACTTCAAATCATAATATGACCACATACATGTACAGTAGATGCAACAATTGCTGTGGAGCTGCACGTGCGTGCACATGTTCATGTACATGTATGTATGTGCATGCATGCATAAAATACATGCAATACGTGCATGTCTGCCTCCTGCCTGCAGCTGTAGACAACACACCGATACAGGTCTTGCGAAACAGCAATGGAATGTTTTAATGGGCTGGTGAGTGTGCACAGGGCAGACTGAAAAGGAACCAAGATGACAGGCATACAAACGCATGTAAGCACTTGATAGTTGGCACAAGTTCATGTAAATGTATTGTTTGGGTACTTGGAGCAAATAGTCTCAAATTTTAGCTGGGAGGACCGAAGTCCAACGTTGCTACGCACGGCTGAGACATCCTGGGCCACACAGCAACTGCATCAACTTAGGCAGGCCACAGAGGCCTGGGCCTGGTTACCATTACATAGCAGATTTGATACTGGCAGCAGGGTACCGGGTACAAGGCCTTGCCCAGTGTCTGTGCATAGAGATTCACTAATCCAAAATGGTATTTGCTTACACTTTTTGCCAAGGGCTCTTGTTAGGAGCTCTTATTTTTGGTTTCATATAATTCTGACCTGCAGACCTGTACAGATCTCTGAGTGCTTGCTGATAGAAATTGTTATGCACTGTTTATGATTTTTAATTCAGAGAATTTCTGGTGTTGCCCTTTACATTTGACAGAACATTCCTGAAAGCTTGTTACCCTAGTTGTGGGAGAGCTGTGTTGGCTCACAGGATATATGCATAAGTACTCTCTACTTCAACTTAACGATACCGGAAACGTTTGATGCGAGTTGAAACAAAGGCCCTTTTTAGCCACATTGCTTACTAGAGCTCTGACACAAAAGTTGATCATCATTTCCTGTTTTTGTCCAGACAGGGGTTATGATGATATCATATGATACTACCGTACCTGAGCTTGAAATGGAAATAATTCTGAACACTGAAAAGATAAATTGTTCACTTTGATTCAATGTTCCAGTTCTATTTAATGCTAGCAAAATGAGAATTTTTCAATTAATGCAGGCAAATCTGGAATTAAAAAAAACATCCTCTGTGCGACAAGTACACCAGGGTCAACTTCTTGACAGGTCGGATAATCTGTTAGTGCCTGAGTCATTTCAAAATCCTGGATCCAAAATGTTCATTTTTGTGGTTATGGGTCACAAACCCATGAATGTAATTTGTGGTTAAATGTGCACCTAATCAAAATTACCGTGTAGAAATTCCCACAAGCAAAAAAAATCATAGCAGCAACATGAAGCGAGCAAATTGGATTGTAACAATATCAGGTCGGGGGGCCTGCGACTTAAACCGCACTGCACAATTGTGCTGGGCGGCTGACCGGAAAATGGAAACACAATCAGTTCGACCAAACAACAATCCCGCACAGCCTCAGAAAACATTCCTTATCACAATCGCAGACCTCTGTTCACGGTGCACAAAAGAAGTATACCCACGACATCAGTCCCTTCGTTCTTCCATCAGTGCACAGACACTGTGTATCTCGGGGGGGACGGATGCAGTGAAACACAAATTTCAACATGAACAAGGAAGAAGAAATATCCAAGACTGCCTGCCTGTATAGCACTTCACATCCGTGCCCTTCATGTATTTACAGGGGCTTAATGTGCTGTTCAATTAATAACGAGGTCACAGCACAATCCCGACTACCAAGCCAACATCAACTCCACTTGGCCAAGGCTTCCTGCCTGCATTGAGCACAGATTGTTTATGAAGCTTCCCCAGACAGCTAGAATGTTCATAATAATTTGGACTAGTTTCAACTTGCCCGGAGGAACAGGGCTCTTCAGCCAATCAACAAGAGCACTAAGGAGGTCCATGCAAGTGCTATGCAATGGAATTTGACTTGAATCCTTGAAAAAAATGTCAGTTTATCTATCACTCTCTAAGTGTGTCTCTTCTTGGTGCCAACAAAAATCTCCCCATTTTTTGTGGACAGAGATGGTGATGGGCTGGTGATCAGTATCTGAGTGCAATACAATGTACATTGGAGAAGGAAGAACTGACTCTACATTTTTCTTCAATTACAAATTTGCATATAGTGTGTTGCAGCTATCCAAGAAGTACATGTAAAGCAAACTATAGTTTGGGCCAATTATTTAGTATGAGCTACCAGTAAATGTAATAAGCATTCACAACATACATCACATTTACAAGTATGCATCATAAGGAAAAAGGTGACCAGTTACATGTACTTTCACAGACCTCAGAAAGACGGTATATGTATCAAATTAGAACAAATGTTTTCACTTCCTGTTCATTTATTTGGACAGGGAAAAGAAATAAAAACAAACGGATTTAGAAAAAGACTTGTCCACTTTGTCATATACTGTTTGGTTACTCTGAGAATATGCAGTTGTTAGTTAAACTGTGCATGTACACATCCGTATGCAGAACATGCATTGGAATAACATTTGTTTTTGCCACATTACACAGAAAACACAATGTAACAATTAAAACCAATCGATTAATATCCAAAATCATCTGTCCTGAAATACAGGCGCCACAAGACTGTTGCCTTGATAACCCCAGGCTTTCAATTCATGCAACGGTCAGTTCGCCACTCTGGGCTGCAACACCAACGACGATTTGGTATCTTTAATCAAAACACGATATTGCCAACATCTGGAGAGGAGCTGTGCAAGGCAAGACGTCCAGGGGCTTGGTGATGAGACAACCAAGGTTAGAGAGGATGGTGCGATAAGATGAAGCTGTCTGATTAGACACCGGCTGGGGACCAGGAATCGACATTACTTGGATCATGATGATGGGCGTTTCCACTGGCTTCAGCTCTTCATTTTTATGACATGAACTACGATGGGAAGTATTCCACCTACAAACCTCCCCCAAGCCCCTCCCACCAAAAATGCATTAAATAAACAGTATCGGTCTACTGGCCATACAAGGCAGGTCAAGCCTGGTTCCTATTTATGCCATAGGGTCAACTGTTGTTTCGCCGTGACATTTGACATTACCCTAGTCCCTTGTAAAACTTGCACTGGGAATTGATTTATGAATCCCTTGAGAAAAAAATAAAAGTACCCAGCAAATAATTCTTCCAATGTATGCATGTGTGCCTAAAAAATAACACAATCTGCCTGATTAGAAAAAAATCTTGCTCATACAAGTTACCTTTCAGATTATGGCCAACCCTGGGAGGAATTTTTCTAGAAATACAGGGTTTGATAAGCATGGTGTTGTAAACTTTAAGAGCATTGCAGCAACTCAAGACAACAAGCTCAATGTGATGTGAAATTTCTAGGGCTTCACAGTTCAGATTAAACGTAAAGATTTCATACACATTTATCGGTAAAATTTGCATTGTGGCAAACGTAGAAATTGAACAGATTATCAATAAATTAATGGTTGGAATTCTGAATTTAAGAGTAGACACTCTAACATATAAGTCAGACCTCCAAAAATATTGTCCAGACTCAAACTCAAAGATCCTTTCACCAAAGACCCCAAATACCAGGATTTAAATTACATTTCCAAAATCAAAACGTTCCTTTAATTTTTTCCCGAATGTGAAAACCAAAAAAAAAAAAACAAGCTCCAAAAAAGGAAATTGGTAAGGACACTAAACCCATCTTTTTCATATACCTTCACCTTAATCCAAACCAGGTCAAGGTCAAGTTTGATTACACCTGCTGGAGTTCCTGAATTCCGAGTCTTTAATCGTCTCATTGATTATTGATAAAAGATTTCTTGAAACTGACGGGCCATGCAGTAACATAAGGGTCTTATGTCTTCGAAGTCGACAGAATGTAAACTATCAGTCAACCACCGGAAAAAAACTTATAGTACATGTACATACTGTCAATTCAGTATCCTACCTGTGTTGAGCAGTCCGCACTAGTGTCAGAGGTCGTTGGGTTCCCAGCAGAGGTTGGGTTCGATAAGCCACAGCTGCCAAACTGATCCAACGTAATCTCCGCCAGCAAGCCCACGGCTCCGGACATGATTAAATTTGGTCAACTAAAGGTGTGACGCTGCCTGGTTCTGTTGAGCAATGTCGCTGGATGCATATCACCTGGTGAGCAAGCACACAGTCTTCTGAACAACTCCAAATATCTTCATTCGCTACCGGTACGTATACTGGCAAGACTTCTGGATCGAGCCACAGTGTGCTTGCCATCAAACACCTTTTATTTTCACTGAAGACGAGTTCATTCATCATGATAAATCAGCTTGGTAAAAAAAGGAAATCGTCTGATGAAACTTTTAGGTCAGTGTTTTAAAACTTGGTGTTTTTATATTCATGGCTGGAGACCAACTCTTTACTTGCCATTTTAATATTAATCACACTCAAACAGTCTACTTAGACCCTAAGTTGGTATAATTCAGAAGTCAGTTAACGAGGATTTTACCATGTTCATTTCAAAATAATTTCTATCAAATAGGCCTACCATGAATAAAAATTAATTCAGTGGCAGTGATCTACATCTGAAATTGTGCGAAAATAATGAAAGTTAAGAGTCAATTTTCAATCAAATCAAATGGACGGTCCCATTTCAACTATAATTCACTATGCTTGCACAAGTTGCAGTGGGAATAATGCGAAGGCCTATCTTCACACTACAAGGCTACATACATGCACAGCATATACCAAGTACCACTTCCTGGCCATGTTGTGTGCAGTTTTTGCGTGCTTACTTTTTCCCGGGAAAATTGCAGTCCGTGTCGGGTAGCATGGAAGGATTGGTTATCCAGCTGCAGAAAACCTCCGCAGCAAAGTCACTGAGAGCAGCAACGTTCCGAGTTGAAGCTTGCAGGAGCTGTCATTTTACACACACATCACAGAGAACCACGATGAGTCACAAGCAAGAGTTTTGAGCGTTAATTATTTGCAATCGCGATGATGAATGAGTTGTTTATGTTGTTCGTGGTCCGGTCCAGTCCCCGAACTTTACGTGGGATCAGCCGCGTACGTACACCAGCGACAGATAATGCACAATGTTCAATGAGTGAAGCCACCTACTTGAACTGAAAGCATTTTATTGAGCCGGGGCACGTACGCAGAGCACCAGTGAAAAGTTCACGGCTAAAAACTCCGAGTGTAAAAGTTTAACGTTCATTTGAACAGCGCCCTCTACAGCTCCGCACTTCGCCGGAATTTCTCTGCCCCGGGTCAGCTGCAGCCACGGCTGCAGCACGTGGGCACTGACACGACCTCTACGTTGCGATCTCTTCTCAGTGAAAAATTGTCTTCGTGATTCATCCTGTAGCATTTTGAAGATTTCTGTCTTTCAAAAGGGGAGGAGGGGATCTTAAGGAAAGTCATTTTTTTTAATTGAAAAATTCCATTAGGTTACTTCCTCCACCCGCCCCAAATTATGGACACGCCGCTGCCCTGCGGAAAATTCGCGAGCTCAAGATCCCGCAGGTGCGCTCTTCTGCCCAGCTCATTGGTATGAAAAGTGCCATCGCGAATTACTTTCGACAAAGGAGATTATCTGGCCAAAAATGGAGGGGTTGTGGAAATAAAGGCCAGGAACTACTCCCGAGGTTTGGGTCTTACATCCAAGCAGAGTTGATAAAATTAAGGATGACAAACGATCTTCAGTGACCGAGAAATCAGGGGAAACCATTTGAAAAATGGCTTAGAGCAGGCTTGGGCACCATCACTTTTCAAGGGGTGAGTTTGTTTTGTGTGAACCATTAAAAATGTGATTATCTAACACACCAAAACTTCAAAAAGAGACGGAGAGACTAGGGTCTCTCTGGCGTGTTATTGAGCCCTGAAATGCGCCGGAACCCATTCTTCTCCCTTGAACAGAGCGTCTACTGCCCTCTACAGTCTGCTTGAAATTTTGCTCGTCGCCCAGCGCCCAAACATACAGGGCACTGGAAAGGGCTGGTGGCCTTCACAGATTTTAGTAAAGGAAATACGTCACACAGGGTCACAGCTAACGAAGGGCAGATCATTGTGGGTAATTTTCTTCCAGACGGGCGAGCTCGCTTAGTGCATAACACAAGCGGCGGTTATCAATCCCATGTTGTTTTTTTTTGTTTTTCTTCCTCATTGCTGAAAATATTCTCACTACAGTTTAGTTGTTCATCCAGAACTGATCAAGATCGACAAAAGACACGTGATCAGTTATACTTAGTGGGAAGATAAATTACCACACTGTGATTGTACCAAGGCCGTGGTTTTTATCATAGAGCCGACACTTTGCCCGTGCCATAGCATTGCCATTGGTGAACCAAAACAATTTGGCTAACAGGAAGTGATAAACTCGCGGTCAATCACAGTGCAAAGCTACCAGCCCTTCCCAGCACCCTATCTGGGCATTGGGTGACGAGCAAAGCTTGACTAGATTCCAAATGTGGGAGATTTTGATGGCAAATAATTCACTTTTTCATGACGAAGAGCAGATTTTATTATAGTGCTGGAAAAACAAAGGACTGACGTTAAATTCTGGGACCTGTCACGGCAAAAAGATGGAGGTTGTGGTAATAAAAAAAATGTTAAACGGCCTATAATTTTAGGACCATGGGCCCTAAACTACTCGGCAGACTGCTCTCACATTGCCATCTGTTCGTATATTTGTAGAAACTTACTGTCATTGGTGTCATTACTTTTAAAAAAAGTATCAAGAAGTAGAGTTTCTTTTGATAGCTAAGTGAATTTATTTTACAATTGGCGACGTTTTTGGTTGCTTTTGTACTGACGGGCAGCCATAGTTTTCGACAAGCAGTTGGTGGGAATATAGAAGGGCAGACACTATTGGGGCCCAATGCAAAGGGTTACCAAAAATAATAATAACGAACTCCCTGCCAAAACAACCAATGGTGCAATTTAGAATACTAAGTCTGCGATCAACCTCCCCAGGGGCACAATCTGTACATGTAGTGCAAGAAAGGGGGACATCTTACAAAGGGAAGAAACACAAACAGTGCCCCGGTCAGCAACAGCATGAACACCAAGGAATTTTTTTAAGAATATCAAAATATTTTATTGCGGTCATTCGCATATCTGAATACAGTTTTTGTTTAAAATTTTATACAAGGTGTATCATTTTGGCATAAATGCACAATTCAGATTTAATCATTCAAAAGCTTTAATCATATAGTGCGTCTTTAAAAAACGAAAATAGAAAATCTCGTCGCATAGAAGTTGAGTAGAACATTATACTCAAGCATTTGCACAACGAACTCGCCAATAAAGAATTATATATCAAAGTTAAGATGAAATTAGACGAGGCAAGGATTACTCATAGAATATAAAAATATTGTTTAAAAGCCATCACTTCTTGATATTGTTCCGCTCAACTATCACCCTTTGGGGGTTCTATACCGTCTTAGTGCATTGTCTTGAATCGGAACGTCGGCCTACCAACGAACATGATCATCCAAACGAATTCAACATTAGACTTATCAAAACTATTAATCCCAACAAGGATTTTGTGAGATTCATATTGGCCAAGGGGTCCGTCATGTTGACGGTGGAAGTATAAAATTCACAATCACCTTTGAATCTGCAAATGAAAAATATCTGAAATGCATTTCGGCCGAACTTTACTTCTGACGTCTCCATCACTAGATACATTCAAAAGCATTCAGCTACATACATCACCTACAACGGAGCTTATGCCATCTTAACAGGTCACACAATGTTCAGGCAGACATGTCTTGCGGACTTGACAAATTATAGTCAGTCATATTCTATTGAAGTTCAACATTTCTGCACAGCCTCAAATTTACCCGGTACGGCCTCTGATCAACAGTCGCGGCCAAACCATGTCATCTACAGCCACTCGTAGGTCAACGCCGCTGAAAGCCAAGTCTTTAACTGTTTTCCTCACATGGCAAAAGCTGATCGATTTTTTAAAAATTCTTATAACATAAAATATTTAGCAGAAGGCAGCGGTGAAGTCAGCTCCAAGCATGACACATTATTATGATATTTTAGGCTGCTTTTTTTCAGCCAAGCGTTTCTATTCTTTGTAGACATAAATTTTGTGTGTCTGGTACCTCCTACATAGCCTTTGACTTTAAGCCGGAGCCTTCCACAGCCGGAGATGATTACCAAGCAACCGACTGCAGCCGAGGCCGGAACATTTATGAGAAAGCCCGGGTCTGTGGCCTTGTGCTCTTTCCGTTCTACTTATTCCCGATAGAGCGGTTCCAAACTGAACGAGACGATGTGTGTGTCAAGCGTTCATTTTGGCACATTTTTTTCAAGGAACCGTCTTTGCATCTGTGATAATTTTAAACCTACAGGCTGACCCAGAACGAAATTACACCAAAAAATAAGTGTGCTCGTTAGCTTTTTCGCAATTATTTCTACCAAATCAACGATGTGGTTTGTATATTTTAGGAAAGACCCGAGGCCTCTAGCATTATTGTTCTGAATATTCACTTCGTCTAAAAAAATGTCCTCTGAGAGAAATATTTGGTCTTGACGAAATCGTGCTTTACCCTGGAACTGAGTTAAGACTCATTTGAGAGACGATCAATGTTAAGCTGTGGGATGACATTTCAGAGAAATTCTCACCGAAATCAGTGTCCTACTGAGAAAATGACAAGAAAGTCAAAATGATGCATCAGGTTGGATATCGGCGTACATATAGAGCTCCAGTGGCGAGTGAAAAGATTAGTAAATACTCAAAAAAATGGACCTATGGCTGTAACCCAATTAGGTGTCAAATGCTGGGGATTCCGATAACTCCCACTCACAATCTTCGCCCCTCCCATCCTGCTCCTTGATTCCAGCCTAAGGACCTAGACGCATATTGCTTCTGAGATGTCGACTCGACACCGCACTGCTCCGTCCATGCGGCAAATCACTGTGGTCTGCGTGTCGTCTGCTACTTCAAGAAGGTTACCTGTCTTATCCTGCAAAGCGGGGAAATGGACAGAAATGCAAAATAAAGTTTCACGCTGGAACAGAAAGTGCATCCGTTTGGTACTCTACGAAGCATGGCTGTTTAACTGCATCTCTCGGAAGACACTCTCATTTTTCCAAGAAACTTGTTTTTCCAGGGCACCCGATCTCGTTGATAAACGTTCTTTTACAATAAAATTCCATTGTTCGAAGCATTACGGTAATATGTCACAATAAGCATACGAATAACGTCACTGCACTGAGAGTATAGCGTAGTTTCGTGGGTATCAAAATGGGGTAACGAGGTCAGTCGAACTGATTTATGTTGAAAGAAAATGGTTTAAATGCTTGACTGGGAAGGTCTGAATCCTTGGTGGTACTCTTGTTTAACTTTTTAAAAGATTGGTTCGAATGGTTATTTGATCTCCTGCTTAATTTTACAAAGTTAAATTTGTTTTAGTTGAGTTAAAATGCGTTCACTTCTAAGGGTGTTGTCACTTTCGGAAAGCCTCGTTATTATAGCTTACGGCATGTAACACTTCCTACGGTAAATCATTACTGCCATTTTTCGGTAAAAGCCTCGTTTATGAATGGAGATGGGTGGTCAGATCGGGTGAGGGTAGGGTGTACAAGTAAAGAAATTTGTGGACCTATGAAATTGGGGTGTGTATGAACCAACCACTCCACCCATTGCCTTGAGTAAATAAGAACCCGAGCGACAAATAGTTTAGTCTCTATTCCAGGCCACTCACAGAGATTAGAATACTGCTGTCGTATCCATCTGATGAGAGCTTGCACCAGAGTCGCAGCCCGCTGTCCAAGCATTTCAAGAGATTATACGCCCTGTCGTTATCGACTGCGGGAGAGGAACATTTTGGCAGGTCTTATTAGGAATTTGTTAACAGTAATTTCTGAGGCCATTATATTTCGATCCAGATGACAACACCAAGATTTGGTAATACAGTGAGTTGTTTCTACATTCACCGTCAAAAATTCAGGGGCTTTAAAACTTCAACAAAAAGGTTTTATCTTAACGAGTCTTGTACCAATTCGGCTAATTCTACACTTGTTACCCAGAGAACCAGCGATTGGGCTTTCTGGGGGTATTACCATCGAGACTTTGATAAATGATAGTTTGGAGAAACATTGCAATTAAAAACAAACATGTTTCAGAAATGACATAAAGTATGCAAAGAAATATGATTGGCTAGCCTTTTTTATCCAAAAAGCTTTGGATATCTTGCATTCACCCGGCTTTAACAAGCTTTGGCCGTGTTTACATCTCTTTGTGGTTTTATGCGTCGGAGGAACGAGATTGATAGGAAGCCGGGTTTGACGGGATTTAAGTTATCATCTTGCCGGACTTAATATCGCGACCTGACACGGTGATATAAAACCACGTCTGACGCGTCATTTTAGCAGCCTGAGTGGCGAATCTGTTTAGTGTTTACTATTACAAATTGTGCTCTTTATCTTTAGCTGACATTTTGATTATACCAAGGGGATTAATTTAATTAATGTAATTGGGGGATGCAGAACAGCGTATTATGATAGTTGTACCCACCAATGCTGTCCCTCATGGAAACAGCTCTGCGATGGCAAGCAGAGATGTTCGTCTGCCTATCGATCATGTGGCTCGCTGCGACTGATTTGGTCCTGCGATGCCCCCAGATTGAAGCCTCTTCGGCCGCTGCTTGCTGTCGGTTTCTCTCGTTCTCTCGCTGCACAAAGGTCTTCCGCTGCTGTGCGAGGTGGCCGGACTTCAGCCATGTCTTCTCCGCGGGCCTTGGCGGCCGGGACGCCGGCCGCTTCGGCACGGTGGGCGGACTGGCAGCCGGACTCACTGTGGTGATGCCGTCAGTTGCGAGTTTGCAGGACCGGCTCCGGCCGGCCAGGGTGCGTTTGCGGCGCTTGCTGGAGCCGAATATGGCATTGGCCGGGATTGTGATACCGTGCTCGCTCGCATCTCCGGAGCCGGGAACCGGAATAACGCTGCTCGGTTCTGGGACGCTGGACACTTCCACTGAAACACCGTCTTTTAGTGTAGTTTCCGTTGTCTCTGGACTACTTTTCTCCTCGTCGTTTGCACCCAGCTTCCATGAGATGGCACTCTCGTTGATGTCCTCGGTTAACACGGTCAGTCTCGCCACGTCTCCAACCATCTCTGTCTCCGGGCCTACGTCTGACTCGGGCGAATTTTTCACCTCGGCCACCCTTACCTCAGCGCTATCCTCGGTAGGCAACGGCCTGATGACGCTGCTCACCTCGTTCAGACTTCTGCTAGAGCGGAAGATTATTTCGTTGGAACGGTAGGTCACTCGTTTTAGCGTGGACTCGTCGTCGGCAACCAAGGTCTCGGCGCTGGAGAAAGTCGTCTCACTTATTCGGGACGACCTTGCCTCAGACTGCTCCACCGTAGACGTTATCGAGTACGCCTCGCAGTTATCCCCAGATCCCAGAGTTGGATTCGAACCGTAGCCTAGTTTACCCGAGTACGACTGCGAGAGTTTTTGCAACTTCTTCAGCGCGATGGAGCCTGACTCATTGTTATACACGCTTCGAGGGGGAGACAACCCGGAAACGTCGTCCTCAGATGAACCTAAAAGTAACCAAGCGAATATTTTTTTGTAAAACTAATAACGATTTGGTGACAAGGACGTAATGTTTTCTTCTTGAACATTTTGACGAATGTTATAATTACAACCGCAATCAATTTGTGAGAAAAACGGGGTTTGGCGAGTGTCCTATCCGCCAAACAGAAGTAGGACCGTCGATCAAAGAAATCAGAGACTTTGAAATTGATAGGCCATGGACGTACATTTGACCCAAAAATGCCTGTGACAACAGTTTCCGCAGTAGAATTTTACCGCAAGCCAAGACACTGTACGGAGTTGACCATCTATACGCCTGTCTCCGGACCGAACAGATGGCAAAATGTCCCTGTGCGGTATTCCACTGGAAATAAGAGTCCTTTCACGATAACCTTACTTTCAGTTTCATGCTATAAGCATCGGAATAAATTAGGATCTATCCAAGTTTTAATGAAGATTAATGGAGTCATGTTGACCTGACAAGCACGTGACTCAAACTTTGGCTGGTCAGTACTCAGAGCCAAGGTCGGCCAATTATAAAGCCATCCTTCGATAAAATAGAGAACTTCCGTTGCTCTGAATTTGTCCCAACTGTTTACAAAATTTCATCTGATATCAAAATCACAGCGATCGATTAGAACTCCCCGTGGCAACCTCGAAGTCATGCCAACCTACATTCACAACATGATTCACGCTTTGCGCATGAACTGTTCACCCCAAGTCATAACGTACACTGGTTTCTTGTAAAATAAAAAAAAATACGGAAGCAAAAAAAAAAAATGATACAGGATGCAGGAAAGAAAATTAATGCGAGAAGACCTTGAGGAAGTGATGAATTCCTTCCAAGTGGCTACCACTCAACAGTAAGACAAGAACAGAGACAAGGCCATGCCCCCTATCAAACAAGGGGCATTTTCAATGAAATGTGAATTTTAATTTTTAAAGGGGGGTGGACTAATTACTTTCCCTTCCGTTATAAAGCGTGTAAAATGACCCCCAAGTTAAGCATCCCCCTCAAAGAGACCATAGAAATTTACTTAAAGATAATTTCAAACTCTTTAGCGCCCCTCTAACACTACCTCCCCAGTGGCGTAACCACGGGAGCCTGGGGCACGTGCTCCCCCCCCGCAAAGTCCCGTTGCCCTCAGATGCCCTCCCCCCACTGGAAAAAAAAACGGATGAATGGATATTGAACAAGACTAACAAAAACTTGCCCCAAAAGCCACACCACTGAAAGCTGGTACCCACCCATAAAATGCTGGTGCAACTTTGTGCACCCAACTGGTAAAATCCTAGCTACGTCACTACTTCTGGCCATAATCTTGAATTTCAAGTGAAAACAGCGGAGGCCAACCTCTTCCGAGAGTCAGCACGCGGCGCTGTCTCGGCCTGATTTTGCACTGTTTTCCATGGGCGTGTATTTGGTGTAGTGCAGCCTGCAGGAGTTCAGACATTGTGTCGGGGCCTACATGTAGTCCAGGGACTTTCCCATATTGATGCGCGCGCATTTAATTTACCAAGGAGAAGCTGTCAGGAAGAAGAACACTGAACGTTGACGACCATTATTTTGTGTGTAGGCCCCTTGTGTATTTTTGCCACATGATGCACTGTTGTAGCGTTTTAATCACTCAGTCTTTGCAGAGCAAAATTCTGTGCAGTATAAGGTTAATGGTGTTGTTATTTACTTAATATGAACGACCGAAAGTAGTTCTCTGAAATTGCCAAATGGTTAAGCTCGCGGTTGTCAGATCGTTACATTAGATAGTGGATTCGAATCCCAGCGGTGGCTTTTGTTAGTAGTGAAGCCCGTCTGTATAGAGAAAACCAAGCCCCTTTGGGGGGTTTTCTCGAGCCTCTCGACCAATCAGAACGCTGTATTTAGCCCCCCATTTCTCCCTCATTAGCATAATCTGAGGAGCCAGCTCCTCATCGGGTCGTTCCATGTTTGGGTGACGAGTAGGGGTGTTCCCGTACGTGAGGGGCGTAGGCTACTCAAGATAAAACATTCTTTGGATGGCTGTTTTATATACTGTACATGGACATGCATAAACATGTGTATTATGTAGTGTATATTTAATCAAAAAACACAGGAAACGCATTCTGCATTAGTCGTCTGTATGAAGCGTGCACTTATTATTATTATTTATTTTTACGTTTGTAGTTATGTATGTTTCTAAAGGAGGGTGATCTATTGAAGTAAGTTTACATAAAATGGAAATTTAGTACAAATACACGGAAATAAAAAGTACATGATACGAGTACGAAGTATATACATGTACATCAATACAGACGCATAGGTACATACCCAGGAGGATGGGGGCACCTACCTACATAAAAAAATGGTACCGCCCTATTTGTCCGAAATGAGAGCTATTGTTGAATGGTCGGGGAGCAATTCCGTCACGGTCCTAAGTCATCGATGGACGTAAACAACCAACTGGGTCGTCAAATGCACTCACAGCTTTGCCTACAAACCTAAAAGATTAAGAATCGCCGCGCCCGTCGGACCTTTCCGCCGTACATGTTCGAACGTGTCCAGTTGTTTACGTCCATCAACGACTAGGGACCGTGACGTCACGGAACTGCTCCCCGACCATTCAACACAGGCCTATTGTAATAGCTCTTTTTCTGATTACAAATACACTACATAATAACATGTATATGCATGTCCATGTACAGTATACAAAACAGCCGTCCAAAGAATGTTTTATCTCGAGTAGCCTACGCCCCTCACGTACGGGAACACCCCTACTCGTCACCCAAACATTCTGTAGAGTAGAGTTAATGGTTTTATTATCTCCTTCATACGAACAACGAAAAGCCACTTCTATGAAATGGTCCGATGGTTAAGGTCGCGGTTTTCACATCCTTGGTCGGTGGGTTCGAATCCCACTGGTTGCTTTTTATTTT